GGTACAGGTTGGAGATACTGACTGAGACTGCAGAGACACGAGGGACAGAAGCTACATCAGAACCTCCATCCCTCACATCCAACGTCCATCTAACCATCCATCATCCATCCAACATCAACCCAACCTCCAACCATACATCCATCAATTCAACCATCTATCCAAGAGCCAGTGTCCATCCAGTCAACATCCATCCATCCAATAAACATCCATTCAACCAACCAACCAACCAACCAACCACCCAACATCTGTCCATCCATCCATCCATGCATCCATCCATCCATGCATGCATCCATCCATCCATGCATCCATCCATCCAGTGATTTTTTTTTAACATTGAACGTATTTTTACCAATATTTACTGTTTTTTTTATTATTTAAATTCAAACTTGGATTATTTTGGTGAAGATGCTTAAAAACCAAACTGAACTAAAGGAAACCGAGAAACTGAGACCAGAACCAGAACATCTGATGCCAGGGCTCAGTAACCCACGTGAACACAAGGTGGCGCTGTTTCTCCACCAACACCGTGCAGCCTGAACGTTCCGCATCTCTGCAGGACCACACCTACACTCTGTTTTTCTGGATCAGAGTCCAAAAGGTTTTTATCTGCTGCGTTCTCTCATTAGCTCGTCGTCTTCTTCAATAATTAGAGAAATTAACTGAAACGCAGTCGACTGCGACTCCTGGGCTCAAACCAACACAAAGAGGACACACGTGGCGTCTCCAGAAGGAACTTTGGTCCAGATTTAATTTAGGAGGTGCAGCCCTCAGCTGGTTCTGTCTCAGATTCTGAGTGAAATCATGGGTCCAGACATCAGGGGGGTGGGGGTTCAGCTGATCCGGAGCCTGGAGGTGAAACTTTGACACATTCTTACTGTCAAAGAACATGGAAATCAGAAAATGGACGCAGCTACAGGTTCAGTTCATTCAGATCGGTCTGACCCGTCTTCAGGTCCAACAGAAACTCCAGATCTGCAGACGGAGGAACTCGATCCGCAGCTGAGCTCAATCTGATCGAGCATCTTGTCTGTCTGACAGAGACGCCGGTGTGTGTGTTACTGGAGGGCCTGCTGGGTCAGAACCAGAACCCTGACTGTTATTAAATAAGTGGACCTCCTTGTTTCTACTGACAGACGCCTGAGATGAACTCCAGACAGTAAAAACTCAAGAGTTTGTTGAAGATGGTATCAGTCAGACCTTCACTGCACGACTACAACTGGTCCAGAACGCAGCAGCCCGATTTTTAACCAGTACAGGCAAAAGAGAGCACATTACACCAGTTTTGGCCTCACTGCACTGGTTACCAGTTCACCTTCGAATCCAGTTCAAAATACTCATGTATGTCTACAAATCACTGAACAGTGTTCCCCCCCCACCCCCCCCCCCATCTCTCTGATCTGCTACAACCGTATGTCCCACCACGCTCCCTGAGGTCAGCGGACCAGTTGCTCCTCACAGTTCCAGGAACTCGTCTTAAGCGCAGAGGTGACAGGGCCTTCTCTGTAGCTGGTCCAAGACTTTGGAATGAGTTACCTCTGCTTGTCAGACAGGCCCCCTCCCTCTCGGTTTTCAAATCCCGTTTAAAAACTCATTACTATTCAGTAGCTTTCAACACAAGATGATCTGTGTTGTGAACCTGTACGCTCCACACTGGTTAGTCGTCATTATCTGCATCGTTTTTATGTTTATATTTCGGATTTATTTAATTTTGTATTTTGTTTTGTGTGTTACCTGTTGTTCTGTCTGTACAGCACTTTGTTGGCCTTGTAGCTGTTTTGAGTGCTCTATAAATAAAATGGTTTGGTAAGCTTCTCCTGTTTTTGTGATATTCTTCTACATTTTTGTGTTTGACGGAAATAAAACAGAAGAAAATAATTTTACTGACACACCTGAAGGTTTGATGTCACTTCTGGAGACTCATAATTACAGGAAGGTCAGATGGACTGGAGACAGGTTAGAGACGGGTTGGAGAGGGGTTTGAGGTAGGACGAAGACAGGCTGGAGATAGGTTAGAGACAGGATGGAGACAGGTTAGAGACAGGATGAAGACAGGTTAGAGACAGGATGAAGACAGGTTAGAGACAGAATGAAGACAGGTTAGAGACAGGATGAAGACAGGTTAGAGACAGAATGGAGACAGGATGAAGACAGGTTAGA